TTCATGCCAGACTGGGGAGAGAGGTGTTGTAATAATGTAAAATATGTGAAAAATAATGTGTTTTTCGAACAAACTAGTATGAGAGCCTGTTCTAGTACACCCCCAAAACAAAATCAAGACTTTGTAAAAGAGCATAATAGGACCCCTTTAAAAAATAATTGCATATTAAATCGCAATTAGATTATTTTCCAAAATCGTTCAGCCCTAATAGAAAAGAGTTATAAAGAAAATTTAATGTGGCTTAATTCATTAATAAAGTAATATTAAAAGGCCAAAATTTGTACCTTACTGATGATGCAAACTATATGCAAGCAAACAGCTCAGGATATGAACGCAAAGTGTTTTTTAAAATGATTATTATTATGAATTTTTTTTTATGTGTTTGTATCCACCTTATTTTTCCCGTAAGAGCAGGCACGGCCATTTGTGAATTTAATGTGTCTGGCTTCCAGTCTCATCCGCTTCCAGCAATTATTAGCTGTACAAAGCAGCTTGTTTTGCTGCTTGATATTGCAAACCGGTGTTTCTTACTATAGTAAGTTAATGTGTTGTCCAGCACAGAGAGCTATATTGGGATTTTAACAGTGGTGGATGAAGTACCTGAAAGTCACACTTAAAGGGGTCTTGAACTGGCTTTTTTTATTATTTTATACTATTGTGTGATGTCCACTTATGACATTCTCATGATTTTTACATTCAAAAACATCAAAATGAATAAGTAATAGGCTATTTTCCACCCTGGTTTTGAGGCCGGCTTGAGAAAAGCTCAGTTTTTATGGGCGGGCCGCAATGAAGACTTGAAAGTAAATGCCCACTGCTATGATTGGATAACAGTTTTGCTTAGCAAACTAACTTTCGACTCCCCCGTCAGTACGCGAGGGAAATTGTTTTGAAAACGTCCAATGTGGAGAACGGGCAACCAGAGTGTTTCAACCATATATGTTCGAGCCAGAGTCTGATCCCGAAAATCAAGACGATGAACCGACTACACCTCAAATACCAAGGATGCTCCAGCCTGCGACAGCATGGTTAGTCCTTGTCATCAATTATGTTTATTTCTAATTTATTTGTAAGGTTGTTCTAACTTTTTGTTTTAATGTAACCAAAGAAGTTACTCAAAATTAAAATATTTACCAACTATGTGAAACGATGTGTACTACATAAGGTTTATACGTCTTGAATGTGACAAGTTAGGTTTATGAACACGTACTTAGCACAGTTATATTATAAAAAAAGCATTGTTTGTGTTGGACCTTTATTGTTCGATCAACGTTTTCTGTAAATTGAAAAACATTAACGTTGTCAGTTACACACTGCTGTCTTGTAAATAAAATGAAAATAAATCACTTGCTATCAATAATCTGTAGGTGTACCTGTGAAAACTGTGCTGTTATGCCAACGGAAAAAGAAAATAAATGCTGTTTGGAGATTCCTGAGGTAAATACAAGGCACAGAATGTTTTTTTCTTTTTAACGTATATTTGTATGTGTGTGTGTGTATATATATATATATATATATGTTTGTTTGTTTGTTTGTTTGTGTATAAGTATATGTTTGTGTGTATTTGTTTATATGTGCGTGTGTGTTTGTTTGTATGTGTGTGTGTATATATGTGTGCGTGTGTGTGTTTGTTTGTATGTGTGTGTGTGTATATGTGTGTGTGTGTGTGTGTGTGTGTTTGTTTGTATGTGTATATGTGTGTGTGTGTGTGTGTGTGTGTGTGTGTGTGTGTGTGTGTGTGTGTGTGTGTGTGTGT